AAATTACAGGAGATTTATAACATAAGAAGGAGCTTCATAATTTTACTCATCTACAAAATTAGTAAATTAAAAATGTTAAAATGGGCGGAGCATATGGCACTTACGTAGAAGTGAGAAATTTAGAGGAAGACCATGATAACGTTGGGGTCGCCACAGTCATTTCGTTGGCAATATGTGAAGGAGGAATGGATATAATTGTGCCTGCTTTCTGAGATGTAAGATACAAAGGAGACTTGTAAAGATTTTCAAATCGTATTGCTATACGAGAACATGTTAAAACTTTCCAGTCGCTAAACCTAACCAAACCTGAAATTAGATTGATTAGAAACACAATTAAAAATGACAGTTTTGTCGAAAAATTTAAAGTAATTATAGTGCTTTCTGAGTTAGACTGAGGGAAACTTTGCAGAGTGAGATGGCTCACCGACTCTTGTGAGGAGCGCGAAAACTTTGATTGCAGTGGCTTACGCCCCTCCTCCTCCCCCCACACTAGAAGACTCTGCTGGCTTGAAGCATTTAATCAGCTGTGAGATGAGATTCCAGTTTCCCCCTGCCGCTCCATTGCAGGGTGATGGATTGTGATTATGTTCATAATGCTACGAATTAAAATGTTCCCTGATTGATGTGTGCCTAAAATTTCCAATCTTGCTACAGAGTGCTAGAGAACTTCTTACTAGCTTCGTTTAAGAATGTTTCGAATCGACGTTCTAAGGTACATACATGCGTTAAAAATCATATTAATTACTTAACACTTTTTCAACTGGGGTCTTTCTGTACCATTTATCTGGAGTGATAAAGTAAGCAGGGAAAGATGATAAGGATCTGGTATGAAACGGGCTCAGTCTGTTTCAAATTAAAATTTGATTTGCATGGAGACTCTGGGAAATACCTGTCACCGTATTCGTTAAATCACCAGCGATTCTAATCGAGAAAGTAGTTTTTCGCCGATACACAGACCTGTTCGCTGACAGATCGCTCTTTCTGGCGAATTTCCTTCTTAGCCTGCAGACGAAGACACAGCCAGTTTCCCAGACGTTGAAAACAGGACTGTGCTATTTTTCATCCGCACAGTGGACAGCGTCCAAAAAAAATAAATACACAATTTAGTGACTTTTCCGACATGTACAGTTGATTTAGGAGCCGAGTAGTTCAGTAGGCTAACACACCACAAAGTGATTTGCCTGTCTGAGTTCCATCCAATCTCTCCAGATGATTTAGGTCATCCTAATTATGTAATACGTTCTAATACGAAGTTGAAAATCGACGACCTTACTCTGTTAACACTATTAATGACTAGAATTTGACAGTGATACGTCTCAAAGTACGATTTCACAAATGAACATATTACGTCATTTAAGCATAAGACTCTTCTTTGAATAAATATTCAGGAATGGAACTTCAAAATTGAAATTATGAAATATTTCGTTTCGATCATTGTTAAAGCAGGGCTATGAGACACTGGCATGGGTTCCAACCCAGCGCACGGCGAAACAAAAAATATATATCAAAATACCTGGAAAACCGAATGTTCCTAGTATTTTAAATTATTGCAGCTGAAAAGAGAACGAATGGCCTTCTTGGTAAAGTAAACGGAACAGATGCAATTATAAACGTACAGGAGAACATCGAAGGAGACTCTGAGAAGAGAATTTGAGGCCGATACAGGCATTAAGTTGCCTTACCCGTGAAAACATAAAATAAATATAAATATACCGTATAAATAAATATAGAATGACGGAGTTTAGAGTCATCGTAACTGCTGTGGTTACTTACGGTCGTCTGTTCAGTGAAGAACTCAGTCGAAAACGGAAACTTATAAGGAGCTTCAAACTAAACGTTATACTGAAATGTAAGGGCTTGTTCCCACGGGTTTAGTGCAAAGAAGAATTACTGGAGCGAGTTAACCAATGTTCAGGTACTGGACTTGTTTCAACAGGCACTTCAATGCCTACTGGATTCCAAATCGAGAAACTCGCTTCATCAACTCTTCTTTCCACTAAAACCATGTTGGGTGGACATATGTACATTCGTGCCTTTTCATCTAAAGTTTAACTTCTAGTAAGTAATTACAGAGAGATTGATTACTGATTGTTCTAGTTTTGGGTCCTCAGTGGTGTAATGTCTGCAGTGGGGTATCGCCATCTCATGAAGTTAAACAGTCTTTTGCTAGAAGATTCTGTGCACTAACACATTTTAAAGCCGATCGTCACTTCAGCACGTCCGATGTCCCATCCACTTGCTCCTTCCTCCCATCTTTGGTACCGGAATCCGACTGCAGCTTGTGATAGCAGCTCCAGTTTCTTGCTTTATATAATTTATCGCCCCTTTAATTTAACATTCAAATGCACTCCTTCTTGTAGCTTCGGTCTGTGGCGTAGACATAACCTCCAACAACTGTTTACCCATCCTCAATATTCTTAACCTGAATTTCATTTTACTTACGCTGTTGGAAAATAGGCTTCTAAGCAGTCGCAGAACTTTGTTACAACAAATTTGTAAAGTGTTGAAAAGGAATTCTTTAGTAAATTTCTTAGGAATGTTTTTGTTGCAATGTTGAGAAACGTGGTTTATTTCCTGTAATAAACTTTTAGCGTTCTAACCATAAGGGAACTGCTGTAATTTACTTCAGGAAATAAATTTATTTTTTTATTTATATGAGCTTAAATTTTATTAAATAACACTTCTTTTTGAAACAGACCAGTGGTTTTATAAGTCGTTTGTTTCTCCTGTACAATGGATACATACGAGTTTTACAATAAGCACATGCATTTGCCTTGAAAGTCAGGTATCTACCAGGGCTTTGAATTATTTATTAAGTGCTACCGTAATACAGTGCAGTGTTTGAACCTGAGATTCGCAAACAAATACATGGCATACTTGTTATAACAGGCAGTAATCTACAGGAGCTTTGAATGAGATTCAAATTACCTCTGTGTTCATAACAGCAAACTGTTACTATGGTTTCTGCACTGATAGCAATATTGCAACATATACTGGGTCGCAGTCACGTACATTACTGACTAAAAGGGCATAGCCCATAGGCATCTGCGATTTTAAACAAGCCATTCTAATTTTATCGTTAATGTGAGGCTGTAGATTGATACCAAATTATGCAGATGAGACGTTAATGCGCTATAACGTAGGGCACTTGTAAGCAAAAGCCCTGCATCGCAAGATGGTTAATTAAAAACTTTTATTTATCATAACCTAAACTAAACCCAACACAAAGTAACCTAACATAATCCTTAACCTCACCCAACTGAAGTAACGTAAGCTAAAGTAACCTAACCTAACTTAACGCTGACAACCTGACGCCAAGCTTCGTGACGCCTACCGACCCGACGCCGACGCAACAGATATTCGGTAACAGATTACGAAGATTATTTATTCGTCTGGCGTACAAATTAACATACTCTTACATTTCCTATACTCCTTAGTGGAATTCTGCTTAAGTGACGGGTGTAGTTTAACTGTAACTCTACTTTGCCATTATTGCTACATTTGTATCATCAGGTATTACTTTGACAGAATTATATATTCCTTCCCTTGAGTACAGTAAGACGGCTAGTCGAGAGACTTCTTTAAATTGTGACTATAAAATAGTTTCTAAGAAGACACAGAAAACTGCCTGTTCGAAGTGAGAGATTAATAAGTAAAGCAGGTACCTGGAATGACAATAACTTGTAAGAAAAATAGTGAAAATAATGATAAGTAATGGGTTAGGAAGTTGATTATATGGTGTATGTGTTGCTCAAATGTATGTTGATTTGTTAGTACTAAAAAAGAAATATCTCTATTATTTTTGGTATTATAAGTTTGTTATTTAACAGTATCCATTATATAAAACATTTTAGAAAGAGTATATTACTTACGAACAATGTAAATCATGAGTTATCATCGACGGACGCAAACAAAAGGAGAATTTATTTTGTCCTCAAAACTTTCTTTATGGCTAGGGTTAGGCTAAGTACAGGCTTCCTAACCCGCAATAACCATTGATTACCAGTGGAAAAGCCACTCAACTGAATAGAGCTTCTTAACCAAGTTTGTAGTTGTATTAAGTCGTTGAATTGGCTGTAGGCCAAGAGAACATTGCTTCATAAAAATGTCTGATTTGTGTAACAAACTCTCTTCTTTGTATCACATTCCGAGACAGATAAGACAGGAACTTTGACTCTTTTAACATCTGTTTCCTGAATGCCAGATAATGTACTTTGAGAATACGCACACAGCTTTAAGTAATCGAAATGAGTACTAATAGGAAAATGGCCGTCATTAAATAGACCTATTTTGCAATGTTTATCTGCTTAGTGTGATCACGTTATACCCACAGATTCTGATCATTATTATCTTCATAAATATTATGTCACCTCACTATAACGAGCCGGTTGTGTGTCCATAACCCTCTGAACTTGTGTTCTAGAGGTTAGCGTTTCGAAGCTCGGTCTGGTTACCTAATGCCATGTCTGTTACTCCAGGACAATCAAGTATATTTTTAAACCGACCACGACATCGCTATTTTCCAATGTCATTCGAAGTCACGAAATTTGGTTCAGAGTTGGTGGGTGACATAAGAATGAACCACGTTTTCCACTAATTGATTAGTCCCCTAGCAGACGAACTAACTGCATTATAAAGACACTTAACACAGCGTAACACGCATACTCAACACTGCTTTATTAAATCTGCGATCTTAAATATCCTTTAGCTTTTCACATTCCCACAGTAGGTGTTAGATACACAAGTTCCTTCAAAATGTCTTTACAATACCCCATATGATACCACATAACATCACAAGTCGAGACAAGGCTGTAGAAATAACAGTCGGTCTTATAAATTACACAACGCACAAAGAGTATTTACTTTGAAACAAAACAGTTAAATTATTTAAAATTTCTAAAAAAAAAAGTTATTCTGATTGACTCACCACAATTTTCCAGGAATTTTCTCCGCTAAATACGAGTCAAATGTCTCACATTTTTCATATTCATTTGTTACAGATGCAGATCTGTTCTTCAAAGGGCATTCGCGCTACAGGAGGCACTGTGTACAGTAGTAAGTACATTTTCTTTATATTTTGATAAATGTACGCCGCATAAGAGTTTCACATGTTAAAGAAATGTGTTTTCATTTATATGCTTATTTCCTGACATGAGTAATTTTTCACCAAAAAGATAAACTTCGAGTTGAGCGTCTTGCAAATTATGTGCTATATATCTATCCAAAGAGAATAAAAGTTAAATACAAATTTTGATGTAGCCCCCCTATCCCCTCGAGATATGTAATATTTTAAAATCTGGCATGTAGTTTTGGACATACCTATAACACGCCTTCGTTTAATGTAGGCAGTTTTTTTTTTCAACGAACGCATTAAAACCTATAGCATCACGTGCGAATAGATGTTTTGTGTTAAAATTATATTGGCATTCGCGCTTTAATATAATTACAATAAGGAAACGGTCGTAAAAGCAGAGTACCGTTTTACAACCATCAAGTGTTGCAATGGGCAAGTGGTCTGTTCGCTTCCCTGAGTTTGGCAAATGTTCCAAATTTAAAGCATTCGCCCCAGTTTTAGACTAGGTAGAGTTTGGGCTCCCCCAGATTTGCTTGTATAATATGCAAATTACAAATTGCCTCTGTTACAAAAGCTATTAAAAATCTACACTTTGATAGCAAGAAAATAGAACAGTGTCCCATAACAGCACGTTTAATGGTACGCAGTTACGATATTTTAATTAGAGGGTTTTTTTAGCATGTTAGAAACAGGTAATATAACAAACGTTTTTGGCAAGTCTTACTGTAGGCATAAGGTATATCGCAGGTAGTTTTGGTAAAGCTCTAAATATAAATTAGGAGGATCCGTTTTAAATCCTCTATGTGCTACTTTGTATCATATCTGAGATATTCGGAATCTACACTGTCCACAACCACTTTCTTTTACATGTTTACCAATTCGTGTTCCCCAATTAATCTTGCGTTATTTTGCTTGAATAATGCAATGATAAGTAAATCGAATCTCGACGTGTTATCAGATAGGCCTCATTTGACTAAAGTTTCTAGTAGCTCTCCTCAGTCTGTCTGATGAATGATGAGGTGGTTTCCCAAATAGGCTACGACATAGAATCAACCGGAAACATGATGATCTTTTTACAGTAAACCTGAGACAAAATATATGCTGGTCTATACCATTGGTGGGAAGATCATAGTTTTGAATAGTAAAGGTATCCTTATAAGTATAGTAATTCTGATTATTATAAACAAGGAGTAAGGGACACAGAAATAATCAGTAATACGAAACAGGTTTCAAATATATTTTAACATGTGCCTAGAATAAATTCTTTAGTATACAAACTAGTATATGCATTTATGGGGTTTAAATTATATATTTGCACGTTTATTTTTAAAATTAGAATTAAAATTGTGTGAAATCGCATTCGGTTCTTAAAATAACGTGATATGATGCACCCGACCTTTTAGTGTAAGTTAAATATCTATTTGAAATCGTTTCCGTTAGAAAAGATAATAATTTAATTAGTAATAAACTTGAAGACATGTTCAACCAATCAAGAAATTTCCTGCTCTTACAGAACCCCGAAGTTATCAATACGTCGATCCAGTTGACATAGGCATATTCACACCATAGTAAGACACAAGTTGTTAATAATAACCTGTAGTGTGTGGGTTTATCCTCGTAAGATATCTAATCAACATTTTTATACGAACTGAATGTTTTTAGATGGCTGTAAAAAACAGTATGAGATATTTAAAATTTTTTGATCAGAGAGAATATATTTATTTTAAAAATTTCTTGGATATTGCAAATAGTAATAAATTTTTATTTTTAAAGTATTTTTGTGCAAGATATTTATTAATTTTCTCTGGTTGTGTTTCTGTCAGCACGACGTCTCTCGTGTCACATACTCACAAGAAATTTTCCTTTTCTGTGGTTTAAGCCAGTCACATCTAACAGAGTAGGCTTCATGCCGTAAGGAATGTCTTATGTTAGAATAGTTCCACGCAAAGTATAATTTATTTTATTAAAAACGAAAACATGGAAGTTATTAAACACCAAATAAATAATATATTTATAGATCTGTGTTTTAAACGACACATCTCTTACGTAACAGGGAAAGTGTTATTCAATTATATTTTCATAATCTTAAAATACGGTTTTACTGAATCTTTCTACACTAAGATCAATAAATATTAATATCCAAAATCTGCTACTGATTTCTGCGTTCATGCACCAGACATTGAATTATTCAATAATTATGAAGTTAAAATACATAAATTAATTTTGTTTATGCAAAACTACTACTAACAGTAGAAAATTGGCAATTGGTGTACTTTACCATGCATGAAACAATCCACACGAAATTAAGACGTGATATTGCCGCACGCACACGATACCACTGCTGCCCTCTCGAGGCGCACCGCTCCGTCACAAGTCCCGCGGTAGACTGACTGAAAACAGCCCAACATCGCGCCTGTATACCCCCAGCCAGGCGCAGCGCTACTCCGCTGTTGTTACGCAACGCGAAAATCAAAAGTGTCTTATCTCGCACGACAGATGGCTTTTTGATTCGTAATGACTTAACTGCAGGAACCTTTGTTCCCGAAACAATCACGTTTATCCTCGGAACAATAATTCCAAACTTTTGGGAAATCCTGTTACTGCCACGTTCTACCAACTTAACTACTAACCTAATTCCCTTACGTACAAAAAATTTCCGTACCTAAAGAATCAGTAACACTTCCTTTTCCGTGTATACAGATGTGTATACGTAATCATCTATTGCAGAAGTTATCAACCGGAGGCCCGCTGATGTGTTTTGACAGGCTCGCGTGATTTATTGATAATTTTGTGTCATTCTGATACACGAAAAATAGCTACCTGTTATGAGAAAACATGTCTTCCTAATATCGTCCGTATTTGTCAGTAACTATCGCTGTGAGTGACAGCTCAGCTTAATAAAAGTCAAAAACTAAGACGCGTCTGACTGATGAACACTTGGGAAGAGCCGGGGGGGGGGGGGGGTTATGCAGATTGCTACAACAGATTTTTAAACCTGATACTGAAAGATCACTGAAGCAAAACTGTTTTCAGATATCTCACTAATTAATCATTTTTATAGAAAAATATATTACAATACTTTTATTTTCCGTCGTTACACAAGCTTGTTGTTAAAAATCATATAAAATTTCACATAAAATTGTTACATGCTTTGTTAATTGTTAATTGCTTGTAATACGATATATATTTGAGTAATTCCTTAATATAAAATTAGAGTAATATTATTCCATTTCCTATGTCGGTATCCAGAATCACGATATAAAAATTAAAATTGATTTTGCAGATATAGGCACCCAGGCGCGTCTCCAAAATTAAATGGAAGAAGCCTGAGATGTAATAAAAACGGATAAAAACAAAAGCAATATAAGCAGAGCAACAGATACACCAGATTTTAATTTTAATTTTGATAGACCTGACGATGATAGAATTGTATATCGAAACATGTCGTCAATTTTAAAATGTAACAATGTTATGTGAAATTTTATATGATTTTAACAATAAGCTTGTGTAACGACGGAAAATAAAAGTACTGTATTGAGGAACACAAGCATGATGCAATTAAGATATAAAAAAAAATATATTGTGTACCTATTTGTAATTGAAAGTTCGTAGCATTTTTAATAAGCTGCCATAAAAGTTTAATTTATTGTTGTGATTTATAAACTAGCATCGAATTTCAGTTTACTTAAAGTCTTCCAGTGTTTGGGATTATCCCCTTCTGGCGGTCGCAGCAGAATAGGTTTTATTGCCTGAAGGCGGGGGGGCAGAGCCTGCCCCTAAAACGTCTTGACTTCGTTTCAATGTATTAAACGATGGATGAAGTCTAAAAAAATAACAGCATGAACGCCCGCGTATCGATAAGCATAGGTGAGTGTGGCCCAGGGTCTGGCAGGGTTTGACATCCCTTGCCGACGTTTTAAATTCAAAATGTCATTCTGCTCAAACCGTACGCACATAAAATATTTTAATAATTTATACCTGTCTATCTTGTTCATTAGATATATGTAATATGCATCTCGAATATATACTATAATATTTTTATACCGATACATCTGTGTTTTGGACCTATCTTAAATCTTTCAGATGTATAGCTTTTTTACGTGTCCATCTCAAACTACAGATGATTCCAACACTTTTCTGCTGTTATTTCTCAAACTGCAGGTGTAACTAACACTTTCCTGCTCGAACTACGTACTTGAGTCTTATGGTTGCTGAAGCAAAGAGACTTGAAATCCTCTTGATATATATGTAGACAAGCCATGTGTCTGTGTCACGTTTTTCCATCTATCATTCTGCATCTCATTCTATCTTCGAATCATCGTCATTAAAAAAAAAAGCGTTGAAACAGGCTGTCACTCCTTCCTACTTCCTACTGAATAGTAATTTCGCATCAAATCAAAGACTAAAGGAGCTCAGAGTATAACAAAGATGAAAATGATGTATCTGTGCCCAACTATCATCCCGTGAAGATCCTTGGTAAAAGGATAGATAAATGCCACTTTATCAGCCTCGCCAAGAAAACACTAGAATATTAGCTGCAAATGGATTTCGACGGTTTTATTCCAGACAATTACCGGCTCATTCATTTCTGTATCATCCAGCTTAACTGCGTATACTCAACAGCTGAAGTGACATTCTTAAATAACCTAAGAATCAAACACTCGAGAATAAAATAGTTTGTTTATTAAAGGGAGTCGTGACTGAAACTACGTGTTTGTTGCACTTACTTAGCGTCACAGCCTGATTTTAGAAGATTTATTAATACGAGCGACAGAATTTCTTGTTCGATCGATCATACACAATACAAACTCGAAAGGATTCGAATCCGCGATCTCAAGTCTGAGCTCCTGAAATAGCGCATGCACCAAGAAAATGTGACTCGTTTCCATAAAAGACTTTTACAACTTTGGACTATGGAGGCGAGCATTTTTATACAGGATTTTGATACGTGCGTGAGTTACCTTCTAAGAACATTCAAATCATAACTAATAAGCTCTCGGAATCAGAAAACATTTCCGTAAACTGTAGAATAAATTTCTGCCGTTAAGAAGGTGATCATTTGTTATAAATGCTGATGAAGAATAACGATATCATATTATCACTACTTTATGTTCCCAGGTGAAAATCCTGACCCAATAACCGGGTGTTTTGGTTGAGATTTGTAGTGTTTTATTTTCTCAGACAGCCCAGATTAATGACAGTGCAGTATTTTAAAGTAAATCACGATTATCTTCCAAATTATCACCTGTTTATCACTTACGACAACCTTCCTATATCAATAACTTGATATGTTAAACAACTAAATCAGCAATGAACATTTTCCAAAGTAGGATTTGACGTTTTCACGGTGGTTAGTCTAAAGATCACCCTGATGATGGAGGCAACAAGGATCTCTGAAACGTCGATAAACTTCAATCAGACTACATGGCGTAAGGACCGAGACGACAGCCATCTTCTAACATTTTTCTGTCATCTTAATCTTTATTCTTAAATTTGTCATCATTACTTTGGTCCACCTAAAGTCCTTTTCACACGTCGGTAGTATGTTACTGCTATGGCTTCCGTTTATCTCTGTTACTAGATAACTCTCAGTTTCTTCTCTGTACCTGCCGTGAATCTTTGCAGTCATGTTTATCGACATTATGTATAAGAATCTTTACTGAAACTTCCCACCGCATTCGAATACAAATGAACTCTCGTGGTGTAAGAGACGGATGTTTCAAAACTGAAACGCGTCTTTCAACTGTTTCTTTGATCTTGACAATTAAAAATTGTAACGCACACGGCTTTAGGTGTGTGCATGGCTCGCAAACCAGAAGCTTCTCATTGGTTTATATTCTATGTTATCGCAGTTGCAATTTTACCATATTTTATCTTTTGTGTGTGTACTGTAATATATTTTGAACGTGACTGATGATAACTGAGTGCGCACTGGATATCATTAATTATTTTAACAGAAACTAAGAGGTAAAAAGTCATGTGTTGATTACTCAGAAGCTGTGAGTGACAAAATTTTCACACACGTAAATAAAAGTGAAGAATAATGAATATTTAGCAAGGTTGAAGGGAAAATCAGGCCTACGTGTTGTAAATGTTCATAAGTCGCACTTTTAACCTGCTAGCTTTTATTACACTAGCTAACCTAACGTAACGTAACCTAACCTAACCTAACCTAATCTACCTAACCTAACCTAACTGAACCTAACTTAACGTTGCGACGCTGATATGGAGTTGCCTTCGAAATACGCCAAACTAACCGCAGATATTGAACTAGAAAACCGACGCCGAGCGTCGCGACGCTATTAGCCGCGACGCCATCATTGTATCACACGTGTGCGTCTCAACCAGTTGGGATAACGTTGAGAGCGAATTTGTGAAATCTACGCCCGGCGTCGTGACGCCAACCATCGCGACGCCTTCAAATGACGCCACATTTTCATCAGATGTGTCCAGATGACAGCGAACATTCAATTAAAAAACCGACGCCGAACGTCGTGACGCCAAAAATGGCGTCAAACCCGTTGTATTACTGTGGGCACGATACTAGATATTCGGCGCCGATCAGAGGGACTAAACACGTCGTGGCGCCTTGGGCGGAAAGTGGATACCGTTCAATATACACGGTCTAACCTAACCTAACCTATTTTATCCCAACCTAACCTAACCTACCGTAACTTAACCTAACCTAACCTAACCCAACCTAACCTAACATAATGTGAATACCTTACTGACAAACTCCGATTATTAGCAGTTCATCATCAGTGCCCGATACTGATGTTCATATGTGTCACAAAGGTGCAGTATAATGATTAGTCCATCTATTAATTTATGTATACCCGTAATATATTTATATTATCATAATATGGCTGAAGAGGCCTTCAGCCCCCACCCCACCACAATAAAAGAGCGTGTTCGTGATGACTTCCGTAATATACTTATATTATCATAATATGGGGAATGGAGAAAACTGCATAATGGTGAGCTTAAAAATCTGTACTCCTCCCTCATTGTCAGGGGGATTAAGTCGAGAAGAATGAGATGGGCGGGACATGTAGCGCGCATGGATGGGACAAGAGTTGTGCACCAAGTATTGGTTGGGAAGCCTGAGGAGAAGAGACCGCTGGGGAGACCTAGACGTAGATGGGAGGATAATCTCAGGCGGGATCTATGGGAGATAGGAGTTGAAGGAGACTGGATTTTGTAGGCCCAGGACAGGGTCCGGTGGGGGGCTTTGGTTAATTCGGTGATGAACCTTCGGTTTCAGTAAGCCATGTATAGTTAGTTATGGTCCAACTTGCAGCTCGCGCGCCACATCCGACCCAGAACCACTTGTATCCAGGCCGCGAAATTATTAGTTAATTTAAACACTAAAGCTTGTTTACTTCTGTTATCCTAAGAA